GGCTCAGTGGTTGAGTGTAGACCCATGCAACAAGGTCACCAGTTTGATTCCTGGTCAGGGCACATGCCCATGTTGTGGGCCCAATACCCGGGGGGGCGCGCGCATGTAAGAGATGGCCAGTTGATGTTCTCTTCATTGATGTTTCTCTCTCTCCTATCCTCTCCCAGAAATCAATAAAGAAAAATAAAAACATAAAAAATAAATAATACAAGGATGTGGAGAAAAGGGGACTCTAGTACACTGCTGAAGGGGATGCACACTGGTGCAGCCACTGTGGAAAACAATGTGTTTCCTTTAAAAATTAAATTGAGCTGCCATTTGACCACTCAGTGATCCCACTTCTAGGAATGTACCCTAAGAAGCTTAAACACCAGTCAGAAAGAATGTATGCACTCCTATGTTCACAGCAGAGCTCTTTAGCGAAGATTTGTAAACCGCCCGAGTGCCCATCAGCAGATGAGTGGATGGAACACTATTCAGCTGTAAGAAAAATCTCTTATTCTTTGAGAAGACATGGAGAGACCTGAAGAGTATTATGATAAGCAAAACAAGCCAATGAGAGAAAGACAAAAACATATGATTTCATTTGTGGACTATAAAGTATAAAATAAGCTGATGAACAAAACAGACCCAGATACATAGAAGTAGGGTACGGACTGACAAACCTCACAAGAGAGGGTAATTTGTGGGAGCGAGATAAACTTCAGAACTTATATGCATATATGCATAACCAAAGGACACAGACAACAGTATAAATACAGGGGGGTGGGGCTGGAGTGGGGAGGTTGGTGTCAAAGGAGGGTATCTATAATGAAAAAATATGAATAAATTTATTAGAAATAAAATACAATAAAATAAATGCTGTCTTGGCAGGTGTGGCTCAGTTGATTGGAGCATTTTTTGTTACATCAAGGGGTTGCAGGTTCGATTGCCATTGAGGTTGTGGATTTGATCCCCAGTTCAGGTACCTACAGGAGACAACTGATCCATGTTTCTGTCTCACATCAATTTTCTCTTTGTTTCTCCCTTCCTCTCTCTCTAAAATCAATAAAAAATATATGTATTTTAAAAAATACTACCATTTCTACACAAACTTGCCCAAAATGCTGAACACAGTACACTCCTCAACGAATTTTAAGAAGTCAACATAACTCAGATTAAAACAAGATTGTCACAGAAAAAGCAAACTACAGACCCTCAACATTTTTTTTAGCAAAACAAAGCCAACAATATATTTACATCAAATGGTCTCTTCCAGGAAAAACAAAAATAAAAGTAAAAAAGAAAGAAAAGGGAAATCAGTACAAGGGCTAGATTAATAGTAAACAAAAATCAATCAACATAATTTAATAACTAACAAACTAAAACAAAATCCTCTGAATAGATGAAAATTCTCAGCAAACTGGAATTAAAGCAAACTTAACCTAAGTTTACTCTAAACAATTATTTGACTTACAAACACTATTCCTCATCCCACTTCTCCTCTCAATACTTCAAATTCCACATGGAGTAGATTTAGTTTTCCATTAAAAAGAGCACATTTTCTAAGATCTTGCTTTTTGAACAATTAATGGACACTCAATACATAAACAGATGGTTACGCTGTTTAAATAAAATCACTTTCTGTAAAAGGAGCAGAAATATTACCTCTAGTTTAGATACATATAGTATAAGAACAAGCACATTTTAAACAAATTTTTTTTTTTTTTTTTGTACATGTCCTTAGCAGAAACCAAATCTGGGACTCTCTGGTCCACCAGCCAATACTCCAACCGCATAGCAACCAAGCACAATTTAAACTGCCACTCCTGATGTAGAAAGGTCAATGACAGTATAACTTATCTTTACTTTTCTACTATTACAACTAATTCTAGTTTTAGATTTCTTTGCAACATTTAAAAGAAAAATAAAATAAGTCTCTACTTGGTGAAATTTAATCAACTTCCATGCTTAAATCCAAATAATTATCACCGCTCTTGCTACTACCAAAAATAGTTTCCATTAACCTTCTGTTTTGGGATCTTTTGTTCACTTCTTTACCCATATGAGCCCTAAAGATGGTCACATAGTATATGTCAGAAACAAGCCAACAGTGACATACTGTACAGAAAACATCATCCAAAGTACTATTTGAAGTACATGCATGCTTTTCCTTTTTTATTCTCACCCGAGGATATTTTTCCATTGATTTTCAGATAGAGTGGGAGGGAGGAAGAGAGGAAGAGAAAGAAACATCCACGTGAGAGAGACACATCTATTGGTTGTCTCCCGCATAATGCCAACAAGGGGCTGGGATAGAAAATCACAACCAAAGTTTGTGCCCTTGACTAAACTGAACCTGTGACTCTTTGGTCTGATGTATGATTTTTTCAGTGAGAAAGTATTAATAAAATAAAAGCTGGTGTTTTTTGTTTTGTTTTGTTTTTTTAACCCCATCTACTTAGCCTTTAAAATTACTCCCTTCTGACAGCCCATTCAATTTTCAAGATTTAGACCCTTAGATGGCTATAAAAACATCACAAAATTGTTCCAAAGATTTTTACATAAAACTAAATTTAGAAGAATTACATTTTCTTCAATGCTTCTCTCCCTCCTACATCAATGGAAGAATGTTAAAAGATTTAAGGCCTGGCTAGTTTGGCTCAGTGTTTAGAGTGTCAGCCTGCATACCAGAGTTGCCAATTTGGTTCTGATCAGGAGGCAAGTACCTCAGTTGAGCTGTGATTCCCAGGCCCTGACTGGGGTCATGTGGGAAGCAACCAATCAATGTTGTCTCTTTCCCATGGATGTTTCTCTCTCTCTCACTCCCTCCCTCTCTGAGGTTAAATGGGAAAATATCCTAGGGTGAGGATTAAAAAAAAAAAAAAAAAAAATATTTAAAAATGTTTTAAATGTTCTCCAATTACATTATTTTGGTCTAAGTTCTACTTCAAATAAAGTTTATGATCTATAGAATCATATCTGACTTACTGATAAAGAACCAATGACATATATCCTGTGGAAACCAAACAACTTTCCACACAAAAAAGAATGAATTGTGGCTAAGATTACAGGTGTAACCAAAGGCCAAAGATCAAAAGATATGCTAGGCAGGTAATAACCAGTAACGCTAGTTTAGCTATATCAATAGTAGATATTGTTTACTAGTCAAAAACAAACATTTTTCAGACAAACATTTCTTCATGACAATAGTGAGTTTGTCCAACTCACTCTGTGCTTACTCTCAATTTTATAGCAAAGACTGATATAACTAGAGGAAAATTTATGGAGGAAGACCTTAACAGTATTAGAACAGACAGTAATACAATAAACAGAAAAAATAATAAAAGGCCAGGAAAACACAAGCAAAAAAGGTCAGGAAGAATCTTTTGAATGACACATTTATGAAGCTGTATCTCATTGGCATGAAACACCTAGAAAATAGACTCTCCAAGAGAGGCAGTGTAACTTCATGGTTTAGGGTACAAACTATGGACCAGATTACCTAGGTTTAAATTTAAGCTGTTACTTATTAGCTGTAAGACTTGGGCAAGTTTAACTTCTTTGTACCTCAGTTCCTTCAAAGGTAAAGTGGTGATAACAGTATCTAGCTCAGTGAGATTTTGTGACTAACTATAAATAACATTTAACAGTGTGAAGCACAAGATCTCAATAAGTACTAAATAGGTGTTTTGTTTTTTTGTTTTTTTTTCCCGGGCACAGGTAGTTTTCATATGAAATTTATGGAAGTGCTCTACTGACTGAAAATTTGTTTAAATTGTTTAAATGCATTTTTCTGGGACAATAAAACCATGTTTTTGTTCTTATATTTATGAACCACACATGCCCAATAGCCCAGATGTTAACATGTCTTTGCGCCTTATGGTATTAAAAACTGGCTAGTTAATGAGCAAGTCAGGTGTGAGTGGATTCAATATATGAGGGCTAAGAAAAAAAACATCATTAAATACAATTATAATTTAGTTCCCTTGGCAAATGGTTATAACATCAGTACCTTGGTCTTCTGCTAGCTCCTATTTTCTCCAGATGCAAATTAATATAATATGCCAATACTGACAATTATTAATAACAACAAGTAATTAAGAACAAAGACAAAAGTATTTGCAACTTGACAGTAGAAAACATTACTAGTACTAGAATCTACATTACAACCATATCAATTAAACAGTTAAGATACAACATAAAATAAGGCTCAGAAAGATGCTCATTGCTTTTCTAGAATTTTTTTTTGGTAAATTATATTCTTCAAAGGGAAAACTGCTGCGTTTCAGGAAAATCCAGTAAAAAATAAGGATAGCCCTGGCCTGTGTAGCTCTGTTGGTTGGGTGTCATCCTGTGCAACAGAAGATGGCCGGTTCAATTCCTGGTCAGGGCACGTGCAGGATTTGCGGGTTTAGCACCTGGTTGAATCAACCAATTGATATAAAAAAGAAATATAGTGAAGGTAAAGTAAAACTGTTCTGAGCTTCCTATGATCCAGTCTAGGAAAGAGAGAAGTTTGTCCATGTAAGTGAATTCTCATGTTCTAAAGGATAATTTAATTTAAGCCTATTCATTTTTGTCCTAGATTTTAGAGAAGGCAACCTAATATATGCAGTAAAAGGAAGCTGGTTTTCAGGATATTTTGTGTCAAGTTTATACAGATTCAAGAGACCTTTATGTCTGAAAAAACTCAAAGACAAATCATGAAAAAATAAGAAGAAAACTTTATTTTAAACAAGTTCAGTTGTATGTGTGCTATGAACAGAGGATGTTTGTAATATGGTTTATTTCAAACCTGAATTAATGTACAAATTTTATACTGTTTAGCAATGATTAATTTCTGCTAAAATGTGGGTTAAATCCATCAACATACCAATTTTAATATTTATTGTAGATCTTAGATTTATTCTAATAATATAAACTAAATTTTCTCACACACACAAAAAGGAACAAACTTATAGCTTCTAAAGTAATAATATGTAAATATATTCTCCAGTATTGGTTTGCTACATCCCTAGTTTGGTAAGAAAAACTTGACTTCACCCAAATGTATTTTTTAACTGATATCCTTCAGTCATCATCTACTGTTGGCTTCATGGTTATTCCTCTTCTTATCTGACCCCAACCAATTAAACTGCAATATGAAAATAAAAGAAACAATAAATTTTAAATCAATCTAATTAGTATTACCACAAAATGTTGATATAACTGATTTTACTGAGGTATTGTTTAAATTAAAACTTTTCCCCATAACACATTCCTCTATAAAGACAAGTTCATATTCTCTCCTTAAATGATAGAGATTTTGGCCAGAATGAATAACAAGAAAAGTAAACAAAAAGTTGTGGTCATACATGTGCTCCTCTTTAAAAAATATACCTACCCAATTTAGAATCAACAATTAAGAACACTTTAGGTCACCCATTTCAACAGATTATAAAGCTTCAAAGTGAAATACGTAAAGGACTAGAACATATAGACTAGAAAAAGCTTACCTGAATAGAAATAATAATGTCCATTCTATACAATGACCAGAGTAGACTGCTACCTTAGCTTCTATAATAAAACCCATCTAAATATGTGGGGGGAGGGGAACCCCCAAAACTGTGATTCTAAACTATATAACAGGAGAAGGAAAATTAGCAACAATGAGGTACTTGCAGGTTACTGGCCCTTATTTTCCCACAGATACATCAAGTAACATATTGACAAAAGTAGTTTGGTTGATCTGTAGCAACTAAACAAATGCCAATCAAGAAGAAGCCACACTCAAATGAGAAGGAAATTCTGTGGCATTTTGCATACCCAGTATAGCATAGCCAAGAGGAAGCCAACCAATTCTCAATTCCTCCCATGATATAGAGCAAAAAAGTAAAATTTATTTTCAAAATTCTGGCTCGTCTGTGAGCTGCTCTACAGATTAGTTTCAGTCTTGCCTGACTCAGAGTGCTGAGAGAGTCATGCCATAGTTGCATATTGGGATGCAGACTATTAAAAGTAGTGGTGCACTTCCATGATAAGGGAAAGCTTCAGAGGGACTGAAGACCACCAGACAAAATAGATTATGAACAGAGAAATACAGTACAACCGGTTCAAAAAATAAGCAAGGTGACACTTATGGAAATTAAGAGATTTAAAGCATCTGAGTATATCAAAATTGAAAGACAGACCATACAACTCCAGGGAAGACAGAACTGGATGGAGAAGACCGATAAACCTTCATTCTTTGATTAGTGAAGGTCTCTTCCTGCATACAGTCAGTCTACAAAGGCTGCAAAACATGGCTGTTTCATGGCTGAGTTGAAATATTCAATTCAAAGTAAAATATCATAAGGCATACAAAATTAAGGAGAAATATGTTCCATTCAAAATAACACATAAGTCTCCAAAAACTAAACTTAAAGAAAATACAAAGGCTTTGGACTCATTTCAGAAATACTTTACAGCAACTGCTTTAAACATACTCAAAGAGTTAAAGGAGAATACGGATACCTAAAGAAAATGAGAAAAGCAATATATAATCAAAATGAGAATTAAACATATAAGTTATAAAAAACTAAAGAGACATTCTGGAGCTAAAAATAGAGGTACATTTAAAAATCTTACAAGAATAAAAGGGCAGACTGAAACAATATTAGAAAATAACAGACCCTAAATACAGATCACTTGAGTCTTAGAAGCAAAAGAAAAGAGAATGAAGAAAGGTGAATATCAACTGAAAAACTTATAGACACCTCCTTTGAAGAAATAATGATACATTTCCCCAAAGTGAAGAAATGAGTAAGTTCAAGAAGCTCATAAAACTCCAACTAGATAACCCCCACAGAAAAACTCATTAAGTCATGGCTGGTGTTGCTCCATGGTTAGTGTTGGTCAGCACACCAAAAGGTTGTGGGTTTGATTCCCAGCCAGCCCCTGTTAAAGGCAACCAGTCCAATCGATGTCTTTCTAACATCCATGTCTCTCTCATTCTCTCTCTCCCTCCATTTTACTCTCTAAAAATCAATGGAAAAAATATCCCTCAGCAAGGGTTAACAAAAAAAATAACTATATCAAAACACATTCTGATCTGTCTAAAGTCAAAGACAAATAGAGACTTTGAAATAGTATGAAAAAATATCAGTATATACTAACAGTCTAAGTCATAAGTTTTGAAAAAAAACCCAGAAAAATGTATTTTCATCCAATATTTAAAAATTGCCAATAGTTCAACTGCTTAATATAAGGTAGCCAGGCACCGCCAGTGTGAGGTGGAAAGAAACCGAAGAGCCAAACAGCCGAATACGTAGAAATCAGGCTTTATGGGTACACTCTGGGCGGGTTCACAGACTCCGGGGGTCGAGTCCTAGAAGCCGCGCCCAATGCTGGGGTCTGTGATTTTTATATCTGCGCCTAAGGCAGCAGGAATTTGTTGTTAGGACTAGGTCCTGAGGGGCTACACATGAGAGTCCCTGGAATGTGAATCTATTATCCCAGGGCAAACAGTTCCTGGACTAGGACAGGAGAATGGGACAGGAATTGATCTATGAGTTCGGGGCAAACAGTTCCTGAAACAGGGTGGGAGTTTAGGTTGGGTATGCGAGGTAATGGCTGAACAGTTTGCCTGGTGCCAGTTCCCAGGCTATCGGACCGTTAGAAAACTAAATATACAAGGTAAAGGAGTTTCAATAAGATTCTCAATAATACCTTACAGGAAAAAGTACAGTGAACATTATATTCAAAGTGTTGAAAGAAATAATACCTGTCAATCAAGAACCCTATATCTAGAAAAAGTATTTTCAAAATTGGAGACAAAAAACCCCACAAAACAAAACGTTTTTGCTCAGTGCTTAACATCGTCAGCGCACTAACCAAAGGGTCACAGGTTTGATTCCGGTCATGGGAACATACCTGAATTGTAGGTATAATCCCCAGTCCGTCAAGCTTGTGCAAGAGGCAAGCATTCCATATGTCTTTCTCACATCTCTCTTCCCTTCTACTCTATCTAAAGAATTAATAAATAAATGAATAATAAATGAATAAATAAATAAATGAATAGATAAATAAATAAATAAACAAACATATCCTCAAATGAGAAATAAAAATAAGGATAATTAGAGAATCTACAAATACAAGCATATCTCATTTTACTATATTTCAGATGCTGTGTTTTTCACAATTTAAAGTTGTGTAGCAGTCCTGCACTGAGCAAGTATCTCAGCACTGCTCATTTATCTATGTCACATTTTGGTAATCCTGACATTATTTCACACTTCTTTATAATTATCATATATGTGTCTGGCCGGTGTGGCCCAGTGGATTGAGCATCGTCCCATGGATTGAGACATCCTGGTTAGATTCCTGTCAAGGCACATGGTTGGGTTTTGGGGAAGTGCAAGAGGTAGCCAATTAATGTTTCTCTCTCTTGCTCAAAAAAAAAAAAAAAAATCAATGTAATTATCATGTATGTTATGGTGATTTGTATGACCAGTTGTTTTAATGTTAATATTGTAACTGTTTTGGGCACCATAAACTGCACCAACATAAGACAATGAGCTTTTTGTATAAATGCTGTGTGTGTGTTTGACCAACCCACCCTTCCACACAGTCTCTCTCCCTCTTCTCAAATCTCTACATTACTTAAAAAACAACGATATTAAAATTAGGCCACTTACTAACTCTACATTGACTTTTAAGTGTTCAAGAAAAAAAGTGAATTGCTGCAGCAAATTTACTAATGCCTTATATTAAGAAATTGCCACAGCTCACCAACTTCAGCACCCACCATCCTGATCAGTCAGGAGTCATAACTTAGAGGCAGGACCCTCTACCCTCAAAAGACATTATAACTCACTTAAGCCTCACATGATCGTTACCAATGAATTATCTTTAAATAAGGCACACACATTATGTATTTAAGACACAATTCTACTGCACACTTAACAGTCTACAGTAGAGTATAAACACTGAGACACCAAAAATTCATGTGACTCACTTTACTCTGATATTTGCTTTATTGTAGTGGTCAGTATTGAACTGAACCCTCAGTAACTCCAAAGTATGTTTGCATAGGGGAATTAAACATAATTGTTAATAAACAAGAAGGCCAAAGAAAACCCCAGAAAAATTAGAAAACATCTTGAGAGAAATGAAAAAAGAAAAAAAAAAACTAAATGTACCAAAATGCATGGGTAGCTTGTGTGGAAAACAGTATATGTGTAATTCTGAATGAATTATAAACAGAATTATGTTATGACCCAAATCTGGGTATATAACCACCTCCAAAATTGAGAATAGCAATATGAGCTGATACAGATATTTGTACACCCGTATTCATAGCAGCATCAAGCACAATAGCCAAAAGTGGAAGAAATTAAGAGAACATAAAAATGGGGGATTCCAAAATGGCGGCAGAGTCAGTGGAAGCTCTACAGACCATCTCCCAGGACCAAACTGGAATTACAATAAAAATGAAAACAAATTGTCAAGAAAAAGCAACAGAAAAGCAGCTTGGGAGGACCAAATAACCAGGGACACTGAATCAACCCTGGGAAAATTGTGGAGTTGCGAGAGGTGGGCTGGGAGCACGGGGACATCAGTGGCCTTAGCTGTCAGCAATGCCACTGGGGTTAAACTCCCAAGCCCGCTCCACTGCGCAGAGGGCTGGGACAGAGTGATAAAATATCCACAGCCACTCACCATGGGCTCTTGCAGAGGGAGGGTGGACTGAACTGGAACTGTGTGGGGACACTCAGGATTTGGAGGGTGCTCCAACTATTGCTGAGTGTTGGCCAGGCAGGATGGTAGCCGTCTTACTCCTTCCCAAGGCTCTATGGAGAGGTGGAAGGTTCTCCCTTTAAGATTCAACCCAACTTAGTGGGCAATTGAAATGCAAATTGAACTGTAATAACAACCAGCATCAGTCTCACCTTTAAGAAATCCCTGTATCATGAAGGAGGGTGTTTATCATTCAACTGTGAACCCAAGGCTCTTCAAGTAACTGCGACTAACAGCCTCCAGGCAAAAAGCTAGAGGATAACTGAACCCTTCCTGGGCTTGCGTAAGACTTCACAGTGATGTTTAACGTGGACACACTCAGGCTCATCCAAAACCAGTAGAGGGAGCCATATACAGCAGAACACCAACACATACAGA